GGTTATACTGCTTTATTTTTGATCTGATATGAGTCAACAGTCACTTTTTCAGTTGTGATATGCAGTGGATTCAAGTCAGAAGAGGAATGTCTGCAGCAAAGCCGAGATCAGATCAGATACTGGAAAACTTCCAACCACCACCTAGTTGCTCAAATTCCTAAATAACTATTTAGCTGCTCAAGACATAAGGAAACTCCTTGAAAAAATGAAGGATATATTACAAAATAAACCCAAAACAAACCAATATCATAAGACACTATAAATGACCAATTAGGAAAGATTCTGCAGTTCCAGCTCTCTGCACTAGATGGCGATGTTCTACTGTTTCCAAGCTGCCACCACCCGTCAGACTTTAAACACAGGATGTCAAATAAGGTCTGACTAGCTAAAACAATGGAGGGTTTTCCTCTATAGGAAGGGAAGGAAGCAGCCAAGACAGCACCATGCATGTTGCTACATACCTCCATCTTGCTTTGGATCCAAGGTCCCTCCACATTAGCTAGGCTGGCAAACTCCAGACGCAAGCGCTCGTTGGACTGTTGCTTGTCCTGCTCTGTCGTCAAAGCATTGTCTCTCTTTGGGACCAGCTGCTGTACCTGAAATTGATCATTTTGCATTAGAATCGGCTCCTGTACCCAGGCGACCTCACGCTCATCATTCTAGAGTCACCTACCTTGTCCCATTTGGAATTAATTATTTCTGGAGTAACCGTGGTGTAAGGGTTTCCACCGGACAACTTAATGTTGTTATAATCGGCGATCTTCTGGATCTGGCGTTGGATGTCAAGGATGGCTTCCCTCTCTCGGTCTGCATCTGGCAGAGTGGTGGGGGCGGGGGGGGGTCCAAAAAGCTTTTACCCAAAGAACAAACTCACATCCACTTCTTCAACAGTGTGTACAATAAACATGTCTTGCAAATCCTCCATGGCCCCCTCCATCCAGTTATTAAATGGCGCTGCCCTCTTGGCATACTCCAGGTTCATCTGGTCAATATTCTCCAAATGCTTTTCTGTTTGCTGGAGAAAAAAAATGCAGGTCAATGAAGATCAACATGGAAGAACAAAAAGGAACTAAATGGAGTCAGTGCCGCCGTCCTCACCTCTAAGGCTTCTCGTCTGATGTGTGTCAGTGACCCTAGGACATCCCACTGGTCACAGATCTTTTGGCAACGTGCGTTTACACTAGGGGAGTCATAATAGTCAAGTTCACTGGAAAAAAGAGAGAAATAATATTTAGCAGCTGCAAAACAACTTTTATTTTTTTTCAGAAAAAGTAGTATCCCCTGGACAGACTGCTCACACCCACGTGTACAGCCTCTCATCTAAACCTTTACACGTGTCAGTGGAATCAAAGATGCTATTCACTGCAGCCATGGCAAGCCTGGAAATATGGAAGTTGTGAAACTCGCTGCTTGGAATGTCTTCTAATGATGTGTGTGAGACATGAACAAAGAGGACACTGTGTGTTTATGTACACACACCTAGGGCAAGCAGCAAAGAACATAACATGTATCAGCAACCATTCCTGATCCGTGCCACCAAATAGTAATGATGCACATCAGGCAATAAGGTTCTAAGTGCCACAGATGATTAAAGAGACCCTGTCAGGATAGAGGAGCTGGAGCTGCTGCTGCTGCTGCTGCTCCCATCTACGCTAAACTGTGTGGATGGAGGAATCTCCCACTGGACCAAGCTTCGGTATCTTGCTACTCGGCCCCGCTGGCTCTCAAAATACCTGAACAATCTGATTGGGTGCAGGCATTGTTCAGGATTTTGAAAACCAGCGGGGCTGACTATCAATATACTGAAGCTTGGCCCAGTGGGAGATTGCTCCACCCACACAGTTTAGCGTAGATGGAGGAATCTGTTGCAGATCCAGATATGGATTGTAATCTTTTTCAGTCCTGTCTACACAAGACCTGCAGTCTTTTTAGCCCCCATTCACACCTATGCGTATTGTAATATGCGCGTCTGTCGCGCGACCGTCACGCTTTTTTTTACCGCGATTCGCGGTAAAAAAAATGGGGGGCGACCGTCGCGCAATTCCAAAGGCTACTTGGCAGTATACAAATGGAAAACGCCCTACAAAACGGACCAATACGCAGCAAAAAACGCTCCGGGACCTTTTCATGCGTGGGCCGTTTTGTAGTGCGTTCGGGACGGGCGGAAATACGGACAGGTGGGAACGATACCATTGACTACAATGCTATTTATTTTTTTGACCGTTTTGTAGAGCGTTCATCGAGCGTAGGACGCGCTACAAAACGGTCAGGTGTGAATGGGGCCTTAAGCCTACCACTATTATACATAGCAATTATGGCGGTGACCACTCACTTCAGCTCTTGTGCAATGGCAGCGATCTGCTCCACTCTGTCTTGGTGAGCTGCCAAGTCACTCTCAAAGGCCTCATGTTTTCGGATCAGAGCCTTGATATCTGCAAGGGTGGCTGTTTCGTAGTCCTTTTGCTTCAATAAGGGCTCCTTGCCTGTTGAAAGAAAGACTTGTCAGGTACAGTACTGAAATATCCAAAATAAGCAAACCACTGCTAGGAGTCTGTCATGGATTCTCAGGAAAGCCATATTTGTTAACATAGGCTTGCAGGTATCAGAATATAAAATTAAACACCCATTCTGCTTCCCTCTACATAGCAAAATGTTAAAATAACTGGCCACACCATGGCAATGGCCAGTCCACACTTGCCTAAAACTGACCCTACATGCATAAGGCTCCATTCATATATACTTTTGTGTTTCCCGCATGCGGCCACCGCCAATGTCTGATCAATGCACATTAAAATGCAGTTTTTTTTCAGTTTAGAGCGGCTCTGCACATATTCGGCCGGCTGAATTTGTGAGGACAACCGCTTCTGTTTGAATGGAGCCTTAATGTGCAACAGTGCACTGTAAGCCATGGGGTGCTGGTGACATCCTTTTGCAAACTTGTTTTATTAGATGAATCGGCCGGATGGAGGAAGATCAGTCTGTGACTCTCATGTTTGTCAGTTTGCTCAGCCAACAGATAGTCACATAAAACACAAAAGTCTTGGTAATCCTATTTCTGAACAGGAAGATACACAGCACTCTGGGTGACTTGACATATATAAAGTCAGCAGAATATGCATATGGAAAGTATCTCATATGCTTAAATCATCAGAAAGCGGATTTGCTCTTTTCCAGTTCCTCAACTCATTCTTATTTTATCCTTAAAAGAAAAAAAAAAATGTTTGGTCTCTTGCACTGCTGATAGTAATCACTTGTATCACTGCTGTAAGGACTTACCTTAAAAGGAGACCTTTTCACCATAGTTCTCCTAAGGGTAACGGGAGGACACAAACTAGCGTCCTCCCGTCACCCAAAGCTCAGTATACCGCGAGCTACAGCTTGCGGTATACTGGGACGCCGTAGCCGGATCCCAACAATACTGTCTGGATCCACCCAGCTGCGTGAGTGACAGCTGGCTCTGCCTATCTAGAGGCAGAACCAGCTGTGCCCGCCCCCCTCCGCTTCTCCAGTCAGCGCTGGAGGATCGGAGCGGGGAGGGGGGGAATCCCTGCAGGGAGCCGTGACAGTCACAGCTCTCTGTAGGGACATGATCGAGAAGTGAGCGAGCGACGGTATTTGTTCGCTCACTTCCCGATCTATTGAGCCGACCTGTGACAGTCTCATTGTTACAGATCGGCTAGAACTATGAGGATGAGTGAAAAGCACTCACGTCATAGTTCTCCTTTAACTCGCAAAAGAGAACTGTAGGAGGCTGATAACATTGTTTCAGTTCAGTGCACAGGAATAATTCTCCTTTAAATGATGTCTCTTAACCACTTGAAGACCAGGAGTTTAGACCCCCTTATTTGTCCAGGCCATTTTTCAGTATTCAGCGCTGCGGTACTTTGACTGAACTTTATTCCGTCATACAAAGCTCTACTGAAATTAATTTTATACCTTTTTTTGGGGACGCAGAGCTTTCTTTTGGGGGTATTTAATCACCACAGGGGGGGGTGGGGGGGTTATTTTTTTACTATATTTCAGAAAAGTTATTTTCTACATTGTTAGAAAACAATTATTACTACCCAATTTGCTTGGTAAAATATAAAAGTTGGGGTCACGTCAGGTAAATACACGCCAAACATGTCATGCTTAAAAATTGCGCGCACCCGCGAAATCGCAAAAAACTACCATACCCAAAATTGGCCATAGGCAACGATTTAAAAGCTTTTACCGTTCATCAGTTTAGTGTTATCAGTGATTGCTGGCCCTAGAATTATTGCTCTCACTGCGACGTTTGCGGCGATATGCAAATGTGCGGCGTAATGGGCGAAATCGTCGTTTTCGCAGGTATGCGCACCCGACGCATGTTTGCATGCATGTATGGGGGCTTTAAAAAAATTGTTTTTTTTAATACTTTTTTGTGTGTAACTAAATTTTTTTGGGGGAAACAAATTTTTTTTCCTATTTTTTTTTACTCTATTGCTATCACATAGGGGGCTAAGAAACCTATGTGATCGCAAAAGATGTGACAGGTCCTCTTTATGGAGCAATCAGGGGTCTCCAAGACCCCTGTCACCTAGGACCCCTCAAAGAAGCTGATGAAGCACAGATCTGCTTCATCAGCTTCTCCCCAGCGTCTAAAGCTGGAGAGTGACACAAGAATGCGGAAGTGATGTAATATACACCACTTCCGCATTCTAACGCCGGAGAGGGAACCAGAGAGAGATTGTGTACCGACCTCCCTCTGATCCCGTCAGAGAGGCACTATGCTGGTCCCGGGCTCGCACCGGGCACAGCGGAGCCCGGGACCAGTGTGACAACAGGAGGGGGGGCCGCGGAGGGAGGACACGGGCTGGCAGCTCATACCAGCGATCCGCCGGCTCTATAGCCGGCGGATCGCTTGTATGTTAACAGGCATCGGTGCCTGTTTTAAAACAACGGCCGGCCGGTAGTTAATCTGATCTTCTTTACTGTCCTTTCCAGCTGTCTCTCCAGCGCTAGTGCAGGTCTCCGATCCAGCGCTGACTCCTCTCATGTCTCACGGTGTCTGTGCGGGTGCACGCTGCTCCATAGACTTACCTTGTGTCTCTCCTCGTCTCCCGGCCGAACATCTGAACTGTGCATGCGCCCGCCCCAAGATCCTTCACGGCAGAGACACAGGTAAGTTTAAACCCTTTTTAAAAGTTTTTGTTTTTTTACAATGTTTTTGCATACATCTACTGCTTGCTAGCAGCAGATATATGCAAAAAAACGCTGATGGTCTATTAACCCTTTAATACAAGCTAAGGTGAAAAGAGACTAGAGGAATCAAAAAGCCCTCAATCCATAATTTCAACAGTATTTGAATGAATACAATCAGCAGCTTAAATATAAAAAAAAAAACCACAAGCAGTAAGCAAAACCACAATCTGGTTTTCGTTCCACTACATTTATTTTCGAAGAGGAAGGAAATAAGCAAAAACGTAAAAGCAATACGATGCTTTAAATGGTTATCAGCAAGTTTATCTCATAAATAACTGATGGACAAGATTTTGAAACCATGAACAGCACAGATACTGCTATTACTGTGTTATGAAAAAGAGGATTTTAGTGCTTAGTGTAAAATCCTGTTCCTGGAATCCATTAATGGACACAGGATGTCTTAAACCATCGGGTCATACTGCCACCTACAGGAGGACTGGACACTGGCAAAACAATATATCTATAGGCCAGCCCGAGATGAACCCTTCTACTACTAACATACTTCAGTTTTGCAGCAAAGCAGTAGTGACGTCATGGTCATGAAAACAGAGGGATGAGACCTGTGCTCCTCAATAGACTCCAAGAAAAGGATTTTAGGGCAAGTACAAAAACCCTAATATTCTTGCCTGTCCACGAAGGGACACAGGAAGTCTTAAAATCTTTAAAATGTCCAAAAGCAGTCCAGAGATGGACAGCACAGGAAAAAAAATGCTAGCAAGCCCAATGTAAAACAGGAAACTGTGTACAGCTGAAAGAGCCACTTGAAGGACTTTATGCCTGAAGGAGAAGAAATGTCCACTTGGTAAAGCTTGGAGAGCATGTGAACAGAAGACCAGGTGGCAACCTTACAAATCCAGGAGACGGAGGCTTGATGGCAAAAAAAAGCAGGAAAAATCAGTCTTTCTGCAAAAAGTAGTGGCTGCAAGATAGACTCACAAGGCCCAAACCAAATTCAAACAATGGAGGGAGATCTCCTGGTGAACTGGAGCCAGGTAGAGGGACAGAAGTACAATGTCCTGATTAAAGTGGAAAGACTGCCTTGGGGATCAAGGAAGTCCTGGGACACAACACCACCTTGTGCTTGTACAGAACCAAAAAGGGTTGCTTGCAGGATAAATCTGCAGGCAAAATCGCTTCCCTAGCCAAAGCGATGTCCACAAGAAATACAACCTTGTGAATACAGCGAGAATTGTCTCTGACAGTTTCAAATATGGGCTTCTGAAGAGTCAAAATGTCCAGATTCAAACCCCACAGAGTTGAAGGGGATTGGACTGGGGAAACCACAAGGGAGAAGGGCTGCACAAATGTCTAACAGAAAGTAAGCCGCCAACGGTGTCTGAAACAGAATAGAAAGGAAAGTTACCTGGGCCTTGATGGTACTAAGAGTCAAACCTTGGTCCAGATCCATCTTCATAAAGTCTGATCTATGCCATAGAGAAGGCCCCAGGAGGACTCACACCAACCAAAATTATGCTTTCTAGGTCTAATAATCCTTGAGTGAAGTGGACTTCACTAGTCCTGAGCATTATAGTACTCACAGACTAAGATGTCCATCCATTAGAACTTGGCCTTCAATAGCCATGCCCTTAAAAAGCCAGTCCATAGGATAGCAGATAAGACCATTTTGGCAGAGCCTACAGCTACATACCAGGTCAGTGTACCATACCTGCCTGGGCCAATCCCAAGCAATGAGAAGACAGGCCGAATGGAAGAGCCAAGAACGGGTAGTCTAGAGGCCCTACAGTAAAATGCAAAAAGTGTTTGTGAGCCCAAAAGATGGACACAAGTAAATAGACATGTTTTTTGTCTACCAAAGCCAGAAATTCCCCCAGGTGAAGGGAATCAAAGACAGATCTGGTTGATTCCATCCAGAGTTTTTAGGCCCAAAGGTAAATCTTTAGAGCCTTGAGGTCAAAGATGGGATGAATTACCCTTTGTATTTTGGGACAGAGAACAGGTTGGAGTAAAACCCCTAAAACTATCCTGCAGCCAGAACTGGGGCAATGTCCCACTTGGCCCAGAAGTCCTGATGAAAATCTGCAAATCGCTGAGGGGACACAGGAAGGTTTGACATTAGAAACTGGGGAGGGTAATGGAGCAAAACTCGAGCTTGTAGGCCTAAGACACCATGTCTTGCACCCAGTCATCAGATGTCCCTGTACTCTGGAAAGTGGGGGCCCCTACATGCCAAGGAGGACTTATTTGTGGATTTGTCAGCCATGAAGTGCCAGACCTTGCAGGGTCAATGGCAGCAGCGGTAAGAAAGATCCCTTTAAAGCGATCTGGACCAATTAGACAGGATTTGGCAAAGTCAGAATACAGCCAAGATCAAGCATAAGGCAGGAGCCACCAAAGAGAATATACCGCATTTTTCCGTCTATAAGACGCCCCCAACTTTTCTTACCCAAAATTCTGAAATCAATATTTTAAATGGTATAATGCATTACAGTTACCTCAATCACGTCATGCTCCGACATTACAGCTCCGGGCACTGGCTACACGCTCTCCCGAGCGCCGGCCGACGTCAGGTACAAAAGATTTATGATCGGATTACAGAGACAAGATAACAGTTTTCCTCCAATCATAAATCTTTTGTAACCGACGTCAGCTGTTGCTGGGAAGAAAGCTGACCTCAGGTACAAAAGATGATTGGAGGAAAACTTATGCTTGTCTCAGCAATCCGTTTCACTTGTGAGGCTACAGTAGTTTGCAGTGGTATCGGCACATTCGGCAGTTTCGCAACCTCGGTTCTCCTCTCGGCCCCCGTGTATAAGACGCCCCTCTATTTTTAGGTAAACATTTTAATGAAAAAGTAGCGTCTTATACACGGAAAAATACGGTAGTTCTAGAAAAGGGCATCCAGCCATTTTTGTGGTTGTGTCCGTAATCGCAGTAATCCCTAATAATGTCTTTCATGGGTATGGCAGTCGCCTTTCTGCTACAGTGGGAGCAAAAAGCAATATCCTCACTAAGCGCTTAGGGGGAGAAAACAGTTCCTCAGGGCGTTTCTAATCTTCTAATACTAAAAGACCCAAGGCCAGAAACAGCACTTGTAGATATAGCCTTGGTGCGTAGCAAGAGTAAAAGTAGCCATTCTGTACCTTCAGAAGAGAAGATCGCCACAGTTATTCTATGCTTTCAAAAGAAAAAATATAATTGGCCTCAAGAACAACATTTCTAACAAATACTAGATTATAAATAGGAACTGCACGATGATACACAAATAACCACCAGTAAGATCACAGCCATCACATTCCCAGTGCAGTCAAGGAATGCAAAGCAGCTGGCATTGGCAGTATCTTCACTGATATGTCTTAGACCCTAAAGAAATGTGAGCCAAAATGATACAGCAACTACAACATGGAATCAGTATATTTAGCATCTATAGGAGTGAAGACCCTGGTGGTCGTCTTAACCCTCCCAACTCTACAAAAAAAGAAAAAACCTTTTTCATCTTCATTTTCCCCTTTGATGCCACCGTAAGACAGAAAGTAAAAGCACAGCAATAAATACCTGACAGAGTCCTCAGAAATGACCTAGAATTTGATATATTATGTGCCTGCATGCCACGTGATGTGTAATACTAACAGGCATTTATTAGCTCTCATAGATCACAGTACACCCCCTGGCAGTGCCTTCATGTTATTTTCTCTCCAGAAGGACGGAGCCCATCTTTGTTCAGGCATCATCTAGAGTCAGCATGAACTTCCTGTACTAAGCTGCTGGCTCAGAGATGAAACAAACCTGTAAAAGCTGGTGCCTGTGCATATATTAGCTGTACTCACAGATGTCTGACCAAGGTCAGCTCCGGCTGCACCTTCTCCGTATGTGTCTTGCTACAAGTTACAATGTCACAGTCTGATGATTTAGGAAGAGGAGCCTGGAGGAAATGCTTTCTCCTGGCTACAGAAGACTGAAGACATAATCTCAGCCTAGGGCACTGGATGAGCTGGAATGCTTTCTCATAAAAGGTGTATATTCTTAATTATACTGTTCCTGTACATTGTGACACATCGGGAATTTATTCATTCAGACTTGTGAAGTTCACTTTAATCCGTCTCTCACTCTATTAAAATAAAATACCCGGAGTTAAACTTAAACATATTGGTATTGAAGCCAATTGATCAGTATGACAACCAGGCAATTAGCTTTATTGTTACAAATAAGCTATGGCAGCTCACATCTGTGAAGGTTCTCATTCATCCAGGTCATAGTATATCTGTAAAAAAAACAAATCAAGGCAACTGGACTTGCTGTATTTTTCTTCAAGACGTTTCGCTGGTCATCCAACCATCTTTCTCAATTCTGTCTAGTGATTTGTTGCTGTGTCTTTCCACAATCATAATGGCTTTTTACATTGTAAACCAGAAGTCACCAACCTTTATCATTAGTTAGCTACAAGCGGGCTTGGGAAGTGACAGAGATAAAATGTCAGATATGAAAGAGCACTATCTATCTAATATTATATATAAAGTCCTCTCTCTCTAGACAGCCTTTGCTGATTTCATGCCTAGGATGTGTATAATGCTGACAGTGTCTAACTACAGTAGCCAGGCAGTGAGAACTGGCTGAAAGGTAGCTAGAATTCAGAAAGACTCTTAAGGCATATTTGAGGGTCTTGTTGGCAGTAATCATTTGCCTAACCAGGAGTACCCACCTTCAGTCCAGCTTTCATGAATAGACGCTTTCTGGCGGAACTTTTCAGCCAAGTGGTCCAACCTCTCCAACCTGCGGATTTCATTTAAGAGCCATTCCTCATAACCCTTCTCTGCCTGCTCCAAATGCTGCCAGCCATTATTAATGTCCTGGAAAATCAAAAGAAGTAAAATTCACATTACTGCTCCTCTGCATCATCTTATAGTTATGACAATTGGACTCCAAGCTTTACAGGGTTTTTTTTTGGAAGAGTTCACCTTTGGATTTCTTTAGAGCACATTACATTTTCTCAGTTCAGCCAGCGTAATTACCTAACTAGGCCATTATACAGAGTTGTCCTATGCTAGCTGAAAGTCCCATATGCAGTGAACTATCTGCTTTGTAGCTGTGGGCAGGAAGTGGAGTAAATGATGTGGGCTTGTAGCAGGGGAAAAGCTAAGGCAGCACCAGTGTGTCAATGTGCACTAACAGCGAAATGAGAATGAAGGTGGTCAGTCAGTGGCAGAAAGTCTTTAGAACTGAAAGCGCTATAAAGGTATTATCACCATGTTTATGCGGCCTTAGAGCACAGAAGATGTGGGTAGGTCACAAGAGTATCTACATTTCTCATAAGTCTCATATTATGTACGTTAGTACCTATATGTGTTACAACACTGTCCTTAACTGTTTGGTTGGAGCTGTCTATTAAAAGCAAGTGTTGCTTAGTCAAAGTTTCTTTCAAAATGTGCATTTTGCAGGTATGGAAGTCATTTCTTAAAACATTTTCTGTGTACAGAACACTGCTCTACTGCAGAGTAAAGTCTCTTCTGAAATCGACACATCCAAGAGAGCTAATCTCCTGCATTGCTACATGGTTCCTCCTGCCAACCTCCACAACAAGGACAGAGTAGATTGATACTACCAGAAAAAGTTGATTTTGGAAGAGGCTCCATCCAGGGATACTCTGCAGCAAAAGCGTTGTGGGCAGCAGAAGAGACAAAGCATTCCTACACTTCCTTGCAGGTATAGCATTTTGAAAGAAACTATAAGCGAGAGTCAGCTCAACCTTTCAGCCCTAAGTTTAGGGGCCTTCTCCCATAACTGAAGACACTCACCGACACCATCTTCCCCTCAGAAGGCATAAAAGCCGGTCGGTTACTGAGCCTCAGTTTAGTTTGTAGGGTGTTGAAGTTGATCTCCAGTTGGCATTTTTCCTGGACTTTTGGTGGCTTGTGCACGCGGCGGTAGTCCCGGAAGTCCTCTAGTTTCTGCTGCATGTCAGGCATGGTCTTCTCAGGCTGACGATCTTCCAACCATGGGATTGTGCGGCGAATCCATTCCAAGAGCTGCAGGAAGAAAAAAGCGAATTATAGTCACAAACAACTTAATCAATGTTTTCCATCTATTCAGCCTATAGTACAAAGCGGGGTTGTGCAGTAAAGTGCACCCCTAGTACAGCAAAGGTTTAAAAACACTGGACGCAACAGAATTCCCCCAAAACAAGATTACATTTTAGGGCCAGTCCAATCAAAACTAACATACAGGTTATGGGAGAATTCTGGTGGGCTGAACCTGTCTACACATGGCTCTTCTGCATTGCAGATGGCTGCCAGCACACAAGTCATGGCAGTCTCTTCTCCTCCAACGCTTCACAGGGTATATATGTGTAGCTTTGTGTGCACTGCTGCTCACAGTGAAGTCTTGAATGATGCAGAAATCATGAATTTGGAGCGGTGGGAGAGGGGCAATTCAGAGAACAGGTCTATTGATGACTGACAGATGTAAGGGGATCACTTTCCAAGTTATTGAAGAATAAACTATAAAAGGACTCACACTGCTGGCTAGTTTCTCATAATCCTCCATCAGATGTTCATTCTCTTGATTGACTGCCAGGACTTTGCAGATTCTGTTGGCAGCTGTCTCAGCCTAAAGGAAAACACATTAATTTAGAAGGAGATATACATGTGCAGAAATATTATGCATTAACAGACACAGATCAACAAGGAACCTACCAAACAGGGTGGTGATAAATCTATATTACTAGGCAATTTTATTATACAATGAGTGGCACGCTCGAAAATAGTCTAAATTATTCACAGGGCTTATACACTAGATTTCTCTGATAAGCCATGAAAACACAGAACAAACAGGCTGCATGTAATGTGTTCCTGAAGGTGCTTCTTGTACCCAGTCCTCCCTACAAACTTCAATGTTACCTTTAGCTTTCATATATTCCCCCTCTCATTGGGTTACAATGTATCATTGCGTTACAATGTATCATTGTGTGTAACAAGGGGAGCAGTTGTGAGTCCAGTGACTGGCAGGTTAGGAAAACTTTTAAAGTCCATGTAAAAACAAAACAGTATAAGGTTCCATTCACATATAGCGTTTGTGTTTCCCAAGCGGTTTTCCATGCAGTCTTCGCAAAACCTATATGTGAAAAAACTGCAAAGATCCCGCTGGTTTAAAAGGTACTATATAGCCGCTGAGGTGCGGAATCCGCCGTATTATTGCGCTTGCAATAGTCTGAACTGGGAATGCATCGATACCAAGTACAGTACTCCCTACAAGTACAATTAGTGCTCATTAACACTGGGCATTTAATCGCGTGATTTCCGCCGCGATGCCGCGCATTTTTGCCACGCGATATTGCGAGAAGTTGTCATCCAATGATTTTCAATGGAGCTGTTCTAATTTACAGCTCCATGTCGCCCGTCGCTTGTGCAGGACCCTTTTTCCCCGCGGATGTAGCGCGATTTTGCTATTTTTGAATGCAGCCCAACAGTGAAGGTCGCACGATCGTCGCCCAGTCACGCTATCCCGCTGCACGGGAATCCGCTCGAGGTAAGTGTCGCTTAGTGTGACTGGGGCCTTAGATAATTTTTGAGCTCCAAGACCAGACTAGAGAAGAATTCAAAAGTTAAAAAGGCAGCTGTCATTTGTAAGGCGCACACAGAGCTCCTGGGATTTGTACATCTCTGTTTTAATGTATGGTTTTGTTTTTATAAATAAAGGGATGCACCGATACCAGTTTTGCAAGTACAAGTACCGATACTTGCCCAAGTACTCACAGATACGAGTACTGATACATTTTTGTTTATTGTCATGCGACAGCTTTTCTAAAACAATATCAACAAATTATTTCAGGACAGTGGTGGAGCACCAGAGCCCGGTCCCAGCTGCAAGCGCTGCAACCCTGATAGTTCTCATGAAAATGCTAAGTATCTGCACTGGTACTCGAAAAGTATTGTTGCATCCCTAGTCTGAACAATGCACATTAACGTGCATTGATGTTTCTGTTTAGAGCGGTTCTGCGAGTTTTCGTACAGCCGAATACGCGCGGACAGCTGCTCCAGTGTTAATGGAGCCTAAGTGAAGCACATATCTCTGGCCACAACATTACCCTTTATTTTAGGATCAAAGCACTCTGTGCTAATACCAGCACAGTGGCATTAAATGCAGCTCTCACACCATCTGGTTAAATCGCTTACACCACAAAAGCATGGCCTCCATTGTGGTTGGGTGAGAGGTTCACCCTAAATCAAGATACTAAATACTAAGAAAGCAATTACAAGTGAAAAGTGATGCTGCTTTGTTACAGTAATACATTTATCTGTGCTGCTTGGAATCTAAGTGGCAACTCTGAATACAATTACTCAGAGAGGTCATAAATGAACCACTTCACTGCAAAACAGATGTGAAATGTGTTTATACGTTAGAAGACAAATCACTTTGCAGTAAAACATTATACCTCAGCTGCACATTAAGACAAGATAAGCATAGAGTCTGGACTGTGGAGCCAGTGCTCTGTGCTTCTGCCAAGGGGTTGGACAGTTATGTTACAAGAAGCAGCTTTCCGTGTTAAAGGCAATACATGACAGTCAGATCATTTCTTTTAAAAAACATTACTGGAAATCACAGGGGGAGAGAGGAACTGGCTGAGTGGCAGTCATACAGTCACACTCACCCCTCCTATGTCTCATGCATACAATGCACAGGACTCAGCCTCGTAGAACCAAAAGGAAGCACAGAACATAATAAAGCTTACTCGCTGCACACTCGGAGCTTCTCACAACGTGCATTCAAAGCTGGAGCGAGTCAGAGCCTGCCCCAATAACTGGCTGGAGGACATCCAACACCATCTAGCCATTTACTGCGCAACTTGACTGTCCTTCCTCCACCCCTTTCATTTACTGAATTTTTCTTTGAATTAGAGAGTCTCAGCATCACATGCACCTACATTACATTGGGTGGTCAGAAAGCAAATACAGTCTGCCCAGAATCGCCCACTGCTCTAGATTGACATCTACCCATAAAGGCATTGGGATATTGGCATAACTCCTCCCAAGAGCCAGCCCACTGCTTGCATCAGGACTGCGGGATCCTGAGAGGAGTACTAAGGCAGGGTGCTGTGAAGCTAGCAAGTCAGCACCCTGCCGGCTCCTCCCTTCAGCTATGATCAGCCTGCATTGCATAGAGAAGCAGAGACTCAATGATGAAATCACTGGGTCATAAATAAGGTATGCTATGAAAACAGACAAATGTCATCAGCATGCTGTTTGCATAGGAGACAGGAGGAACCAGGGAATGCGAGGAACCAGGGAATGCAAAAAAACAGGGAACGCAGATTCAGCTTAAGCTTTAATTTTAAGTGACCATGACTAAATCCCCTTTGAGATGAATAAGCATGCAGATGTTTATTCACACAATGACTGGGAAGTTACTAGCTGTGCTTGCATGGCTAAAATAAACTTTCCGGACTCCAAGCTGCAATTATTGTGACTGGGTGGTGGAGCCAAGAAAAAGCAGCCATGGGTCCAACAGCTTTGGCCTCAGCTACCTATTGCCAAATCTATGAAAGCCTGCAGTAGCCAATACTCCAATGGGAATCCAATCATTACATGTACAGGCTCCATACAGAGCAAAGACAGGTTTGCTCCATTATACCTGGACACTTAGGGGATGATTTATAATGGAGTGGATACTAAGGCCTGGTTCACACCTGAGCGTTTTGTAGCGCGTTCAACGCTCGTCGAACGCTCTACAAAACGCTCAAACATCTAAATCCCATTGTATTCAATGGGTCTGGTTCACACCTTGCCGTATTTCCGCCCGTCCGAACGCGATACAAAACGGCCTACGCCCAAAGAAGTACACGTACTTCTTTGGGGCGTTTTGGTCTCGCGTTTCCATTAGGATACAACCAAGTAGCCCACGGAAACGCGCGTTTGTTGCGCGGTTTTTTTACCGCAAATCGCGGTAAAAACACGCGCCGCGAACCGCGTGACAAACGCGCATATTCAATACGCCTAGGTGTGAACCCAGTGTAAAAGCCGGTCAGGTACAAAAACAACCTTCCACTACAAATGGGAAAATTTCTACAAACACATGTTAGGTGCTACAAGACAATAGTAAGTAAAGTGGATTACAGATCCAGAGAGTGTTGAAACAAGCGTATTGTTTAGAGAATTAGACAGGACAGGCTAAAAACCCAGCATGAGAAACCAGCAGCAGCTCACCTTCTGAGCACCAGAGAAAGCATGGTAGAAGCAGGAAACGTAGGTCATTATGGCCTTCTCATCAGGTCTGAGAGTGCCCACAATATCTGTGCAGAGAAGAAAGAGAAAGGACAAGTGCAGAGTGAGGAGGCGCAGAGCCAGTCAGGAACCTAATGAGGAGCCTTTCTGTCCCAGATCTGAACCTCTCTGCCCTCAGTCTGTGTCAGGAATGGCTGCGTGAGCTGCAGAGCTCATTGTGTCTCTTTACACCGGAGAGCAGGAACATCGAGAGATTCCTGACACAAAACAAGGTGACAGCATGCCATGAATCTGCAAGACAAGCTGGAAATTAGGCATGCGGAAAATAAAGAGAGGAGACAGGTGGGGGCACTGTGGCAGCCCCTGACGCTACCTTCTGAGCTCCTGAGAAGGCGTGGTAGAAAGAGGACACGTATGTCATGATTGCCTTCTCATCAGGGCGAGCGGTGCCGACAATGTCTGGAAATGAAGGGAATAGGTTAAGACACGGAAAAACAAACAAATTGGCTGAACTCTCAGGCGTCTTTTCACTCTAGACCAGTGATGGCAAATCTTTTTTGAGACCAAGTGCCCAAACTGGATCACTAAACCACTTCATGTATCTCAAAGTGCCAAACTGTTCTGTACTGTACTAGGGGCTGACCGATATAGATTTTTTGGTACCGATAACGATTATGGGCCACCTTTCAGGCCGATGAATTATAATCAGATACCGATATTCTGTTTACATCCAGCTGCACTAGCAGCTGAATGTAAATGGCAGGCAGTGGCCTGACAGCGGTCGACCCATAGCCGCCTGTTTTTATTGTTGCATTCTGACAGCAATACATAAAAAGAAAACTAGCAGATAGCAGGGGAATCAATATCCAGCCTTCTATTGGCTATTTCCAATTGCAATAGCAGGCTGGCTATTGCACACGCCCACTGTCTGCTGTCAATTAGCAGAGGAGCTGACCTGAAGGAGAAAGTGGATATCAGATGAGCTAATGCTTCCCCTGCTGCCTTTTTTTTGTAAGACAAAAAAAAAACACAGCAGGGCACTCAATAGCTAGGCTGCTATTGGCTATTTCACATTGCAATAGCCAATAACAGGCTGGCTATTGCACCCGCCCACTGCCTCTGTCAATCAGAAGAGGACCTGAAGGAGAACTTCAGACCTACCTCTGTTGATTCACAGCAGCAGTGGGCGGGTGCAATAGCCAGCCTGCTATAGCAATTCGAAATAGCCAATAGCAGCCCAACTCTTGATTCCCCTGAATTGTTTTTTTTAACAAAACAAAAAACAGATAGCAGAGGAGCTAATGCTTCCTCTGCTATCTGCTGTTTATTTCTTTGTATTCTGACAGTGGTTCAATGGCTGTTGGCTTCTGACAGGCTCCTTCAATCAGCTGATCGAGGGATGCTGGCCGGATAGAGGCACCCACTGTGCAAATTTGCATAGTATTTATTATTGGTAATATTGGTCACTTTGACGGAGAAAAGCAATGAGGCAAGTCTATGGCTCGCGTGCCAGCTGTAGCATGCATGCCATAGATTCACCATTGCTGCTCTGGACGGTAGAAGGTAAAATGACAATAACCTAATTTGGTACGTTAGGGCAAAACTTGAATACTTGCAAGGAAAAATAACCTTTTTTGTGCAAAAAAAACAAACAGGGACCCTTTTCAATTCATTTGAGAGCCAGAGGATCCAGAGGTGTGCTTGAAAGAGCTGCCATCAGTTCCCACTGGCATTAAACTCATTTAAATATTTTTTTGTTGTTTTTTTAATGTGTCATGCCATGAGATCATCTGGGATAGGAGGTCATGTCGGCATAGATAAGACTCCGACAGTCTTAATGGAGAAATACTAGCCGTCAATTCGCTCACTGGCACTTTACAACTATGGTGAAAATTCAGCACTGAAGCTCCCAGCATCCATTTGCTGCACCAATACATAGCCATGTCACTGTATGGATTTTCCATTTCTTATACAAAACAGAATGTATGGAAAGGACTAAGGCACTTTGGTACAGAGATGAGGGTTTAAAAAGATGAGCAGGGATTCTAAAGATCTACTGTACCTCCTAAGCAACCATCGGGGAGATCGAGCTCCTAGACAACCATCGGGGAGATCGAGCTCCTAGACAACCATCGGGGAGATCGAGCTCCTAGACAACCATCGGGGAGATCGAGCTCCTAAAGATCCCTATTGATGAAAGGACATGTTGACTCCAGGATCTGAGGCTCACCTTCAGCGTCCAACATCTTCGGGATATCCAAATACTTCTCAGCCACTTCAAAGGCATTGTTCAAGTTAGTCACTGGGTCATCCTAAAAGAATAACAAAGAAAAGTGCTTTAAGTATGTGAAAAATACATACCCATAATATATGTTTTACCACATACAAAAATGTTGGTTTACCTTTCTCAGTTTATCATATTCTATAAGCTCTGGTCGGTGTCTGTGAATCAAGGCATTGAAAGCCAGGCCGTCCTTCCAGCTGCAAGGGGAGAGATGAATTATTATTTCTGAATGACTCTAACCAAGTATCAGTGAAGGGAAAAGCTGACTAATGTAATTATGAACATTAATTGGAGATGTACAATGTAGCCACACAGTATAAAATGCTTGTATTGTGGTGCTATGCACCAGTAACCATTCCCATTGCACAGCCACATCATTTGTGAGTGCTCTGTGTCAGCTTTATACACAGTAAATATTTTTTTCTGCAATGGGTTCTTTCACATGTGCAGAGATGAATTCAATTCAGTAAAAATACCTATGATATATCTTACAAATATCTACATAAGAGCAGACACCACAAGAAGCCTGCTTTTCCCCTGAGGGACACACTGCCTAGGTCCCTATGAGATTTAGTTTTATTTTATTACGGGGTCCTGAAATTCTTCAACTTCATTGCTTAGCTTTACCAAACTGCCACTCCACTGCCAAAAGAGTGTCTTTACCGGCCACTGAGGCAGACTCACTCACAGTGGAATGGCAATAGTCGATGTATACAGGGAAAGTCGCTATACAATTGCACCAAGACTATGGGAGGACATTTACACACATCTATACCTCAGGTGCAGCTATATACACTAGATATACTGGAGTAACACTATAAATTGTGTTCAACATATGCAATAGAAGCAAAACAAATCTGCAGCTCCTAAAATTGTATTGTATATAAGAATGCAAATATTTATTTTAGAAGGTCTTTATTGACTGAATACAAGAAGGAATTAGTTCCCCCATTCCCCAGGCATAGCGATCAAAACACAGAGCCAGCCTGCTGTGAAGGAGAAAAAGAAAAAAAAACCACAATGGCTCACTGGTTATCAAGTCTGCTTTGGGTATCACACAATGTCACCCACCTCTAACTCTACAGTGCTCTTCTATCATGATCTGTAAATGTGAGGAGAGGAGCCACAAACCAGCAACCCTAATTTTAAAACCCTTTATCTTCATATGTCTGGATATATGGAGATCCACTGGCCGTTCCTACGGGCAGGAGGTGCGACTTCAAAATACAGGCATATGGTGCATCTTGCAGTGATATTGTCGGATTAAATTGAAATGATGTGCTTAAACTGGGTGCAGCATGGGTGGGCAAATGAATATGGAATTCGGGGGCTAGTCTGCCCAATCCAGGAGCCACCTCCACGGACAACCACCATAGAAAACCTCATAAATTAGGTGCCAGCTGTAATTTTTGAGAAGCATTGGCTATTGTCCAGCCTTGCAATAAGCGATGGGTGCTTTTTAGCCATTTGTCTCCATTATAAAGTATCAGTCAAAAGAACATTGCCTTTCTTTTAAGAAAAGTGCTGAAGTGCAGGGCAATATGAGAATGGTTTGGCGACCATTACATGCAAATGAGAGCTACAGATACAGCTTTACAAATGTGGTGCTTGTGACAAACCAAAAGCAGCACATGCCAAAAGTGACATTTTACCTTATGTGGAAGTTCTGTACATTGACATTCTTGTAAGGCGCAGTTTTTCTCTGACACCACAGTAATAATCCTTCCTTCGCAGAGGTTTCTGTGGAGCCAAAAGAGGAACTTTATCACGAGACGGAAATTTCGGGGCATGAGAAAACAGGCAGAGAAACCACAGGCACAGCACTTACCTTCCACAGAGATGTCCTGAATGGCAAACCGCAGAATGATGGTCCAAATCATACCCAGTGTCATCTTGGCATTGCCATCAACAATTTCTGAGTGAGACAACACAGTGACCCAATCAACATCAGCTGCTGCTGCCAACTATTTTAATACATTATTCACTTACTTTTTCTGTAATAGAGAGATACTACAACTGGATTCACCCACAGAAAATAAAGGGGGAACAAGGCTACAATTTCAAAGACTGAGTCAGATTACAGAATAGCTGCAATGCAGATTGATAATCACTGAGCTTTAAAGTAGGCATAGATATTGGAAGTGATAATAGGATGGACAGTAATAAAACAATTCTGTTCACTAAGGAGTTGTGCTGTCATACAAAAGAACTCGTGCAAGAACTCAAGCTTAAAGAAACGGTCAGGTTATTCCCAGCTCTGAAATGAATCTGTGCTTTGGTCATGCAGGGCAAAAAAAAAAACAGGCGCGCTTATCTTTTTGTCACCGACTGGTTCCCAATAGTTAGAGGGGACCGGAGCCATCGGTGGCAGCCCAGCCTGACAGCTAGCAGCAGCACACTATGCCGGCCGCTAGCTGCCAAAGGATGCAGATTTACATACCCTCAACATGGGGCATCATGCAGAAGGAACGCTAATCTACAGACTGCAAGCACAAATGGGTTAATGCAGACACCCACACACACACCTATTTGCCACCACTGGGAGCAAAAGTAAAGATCCCATGTCAGCAATAAGTTACCGGATTCAAAGTTCACAAAGGCTATGGAGCGCTCTCACAGAAGTCATGCTGCTCCATACTTGTTTTTTCTGGCTCCCATCATAGAAAATAAAGCAGTTAAGGGGAAAGTTGAGTATGGGTGTGAGAACATTAAACAAATGATTGCTTTGCCCTGAATAAGCAAGCCACAGGTTAGTTTTCAGACAGTGGCTGGTGGACTTATAAGTTGCTTAGCTCAGGTCAAACAATAAAATACTGTGTAATAATTTGCTTTCACTCTGTTGCCCATGGTGTAGATATGTTGAGCCAGGTAGTGAGGGTCAGCCTAGCTCACTGCTGGAGTTCATCTTCTAATATAATATCAGCTATATGTGACAATACAAATCCATTAACCAGTGATGGATTCCAAGTAAACCTGCCAGGTGAGCTTATAATAAGTGCTGCAATATGCTGACAAATTCTAGCCAAGTATATAATGCCCCCAAACAACAACAGCTGGAAGCTTAAACTGCCTTTAATAGCCAACAAACTTGTGAGAATGAAATACACAGAAGAAGGAAGATAAAGAGTGAAAACAAAAACACCTTTGGGGAAGAGGAGGGAATGGGAGTCGTTTAAAAAGAAACAGTTCCCGTATTGTAACAAAGGTCACTTCAGAGCAGGAAAAAAAAAATACCTTCAGCTCCAATGGAGACCAACTTCACCCCTTTACTAGCAATGAAGTCCAGAGCTTTGTTGACGTTATTAATTTTATGGACCCTCATTTTTCCTCGTTCCGGTTTCGGAAGTCTTTCCCCTGAAAGAAACATATTGAATCAGAATAGACTTGTCATTTAACATGTGATCATTTGCAATGATGCTGCTCTCTAAGCCCGGCCGGCGTCTCCTCTCACAGGGGAGGTGTTTAAGCTGCAAAGGTCCCGATCTGCTTCCCACATACAATGTCCACACAAGTATCAGCCACACTCCAGAAAATCCAACCTAAAAAAGGATTTATTACATTCTATTTATTTTATTCTTCTCTGCCATTGACCTAGAATGTGCTTAATCATAAAGCCTCCATTTGCTGGACTTACTGGAGTGCTCCATTTCTTTTGTAGGCACTGTTTAAATCTAGGACAGAACTACAAATCTTCTGGCATGTAAAACAGCCCCATATATCTATTTCATCTTTGTATTTAGCAGTTTGCCCGGAGTTCAGCAAGTTCTATAGGACCTCCTCTCTGTAGAACACATTTGGCAGCAGTGGTTGGTGAAGCTCTTGTCTCTGTTGCCTTTGTCTTAGCCCTAAGTAAATCAAAACTTTTTGGGAGTTTAACTTGCAAGCTTTGAATGACACGATCATCATTTGTATTCCTCAAAGTTGTCAATCTGTATAGATTTTAGGTCTCTGTTGGCATTTTTACAGCATCCCAATGGGGGCTCCAAGTACCCAGCAGGGAAGTCTGTTCTTTGCCCACCTGAAATGACTTCCAGAAGTAACATAAGCTTCAACCCATCTCGGAAATCCTCATCGATGTTCTCGATCTGTGTGCCGGCTTTCCTCAGGTGGGAGTTACACCAAGCAGTGAAAGTCTGTGGGGAGAAGAAGCTGGTCAATTAAGGGCTCAAAACACAAAACTTCAAGCCTTTCTGCAGTCCTTGCATGCAATAACTGTTAGACGGCACCAGTGGTTAGCTACTAAAAATGCAGCAACCACCAACTTTTATAAAATGGCAATTTCAGGGGGGGAAAAAAAAAAGAATTGGAACCGCTGCCCTTGTTAATGTAGGGGAGAAGTTTCCTCAGTTCCTGTCCAGGCGAGAAAGGTCATTGTACAGGAAGTGAGGGCTAATCTCTCCAATGTGGATGTAGACATTAATAACAGGTTTGAGTTAAGGTGTGCAATTTTTCTGATTTTGCTTATAAAAAAAAAAATTAAGGAAGATTAAATAATCTTCATCACAGACGTGTGGTTGATTTCGGGCCTTCTTTGAGGTGCAGCTAGACCCCCAACCCAATACTTCAGTCCTCACCAGATGCCGTTAACAGACTTTACAAGCGGTGCCTGGCCTGCCGGCCTCAGCCAATATATATTGCAGCTATTGGATCTACATTGTAGATATCGGTCTCTTAGCCTAGGTAGAAAAGTATGTCAAGCTTTATGTCTTAGTTTTGGATAGAGTGGGAAGGATCCTTCTCAGGTTTTTGCTGCTATTTATGGCTCCATTGGAAAGATTTTCCCTCACTTCCTGTCCTGCGGACACTAAACCAACCAGTTTTTGGCTTGACATACACCAACTGTGGCTGCTTTATATTACATTGTAAAATGTGTTTTAAAATGTGGATGACATTGTATTCCGAGTAACAGTGCAGAGAAGCAAATCAGCAGGAGCACAAGGATGTACAACATATCATTTAGTCACATATTATCTTCAAACAAAGGGCTTCATTTATAGAAAACGAGAGGGGGGGGAATGAGCCGCCCTGAAGCCAAGAGAATGAAACCTGCAGGGGGGTGGGGGGTCAACTGTCGGGTACAGGGCACATGCATTTCTATGTGTGCTTGGTGTGCATGCAGCCCAAGGATCGATGTAAATGTGATTGGTGAATGTGGGTAAAAAACATTTGGTTGACAATTTCTGAAGAACAGAGAACAGCAAAGCTTGACAAAACAGACATGAATGTGGCTAATGGATAACTTGATGTCCATTCTTTCATGGGTATTCAAACGTCACAGAGAGCTAGGCTTGAAAGTGGTTGTAATTAAAGAGACATAGCATCCAATTTACGCTCCTTCCAAGCCAATACCATTAAAACCGAATTCCGGCACCCCCTTCCCCGCTTTCTGTAGTCCCTCCTCCCTCCAGAGAGAATTTTGTGTCTTTTTTTAGGCGTCCTTAGCCAGTCATGTGACACCGCAGTATCCTCAAGGATGAGGAAGATGAAGTGCGCAAGCGACGTAAGCTCCTTTCTCTGAATTATACTAAGAATACAGGGGGTTCCATGGTTATGCCCCATGGGTAGCTGGCCCACGACACCCTGAACTCATAGGAAGAGTGCAAGTTGTCGTTAAGAATGTGGACATCTAGGAGGAATAAATTACTGCGGGGGGACAGTGCCAGAGAAAAGAGCTAGTACAGCAACCAAATACTCTTACTATGGCCATGCTATTCACTTATATTTAAATTATAAGCTGGAGCTGGGCTTTGTAAAATTGTAGTGAGAAAGTATAAAAACTGCCACTGCGGGGGGGGCGGGTATTAATAAACAGTGGTACACATTATTCTGGAACCATAAAAAGGAACAGAATACAAATGTTTGCCTAATTTAGCAGTTTTCAATTAGATTGGGGGATGTTGATATGTTTGTAAGGGTTTCATGATATACCCCAGCTAAGCATGCTTCGAGGAAATAGGGATGCACCGATACTAGCTTCGGTGCCGATACAGCGTATTTGGGCGAGTACTCATACCCGCCTAAATGCTCCCGATGCCTAGCCCAAATACCAGAACCTCCGGTATCAGGAAGCCGGCAGTGAGACATTACACACTGCCCGGCTTCTTGATTGGCCCGCTCCATGCTCCCTTGTCACCAGGGAGCTGGGTTCCTGGCCAATCAGGAAGCAGGGGGGGAATGACTTGCCGTCCAGCTTCCTGATTGGTCGGGAAGCTGGCCAACCAGGAAGCGAGTTATTACCCGCCCCCCGGCTTCCTGATTGGCCAGAAAGCCGGCTCAATGCTGAACATGGAGACAGCTTTGCTGATAACCAGGAAGCCAGGTGGAGAGTTATTACACGCCGCCCGGCCTCCTTAAAAAGGGACTTCCGGTATCGGAGTACAACTAATTTTTTTTTTTTTTTTTATATTGGTACTCGATAATCGAAAAGACGTTATCGGTGGATCCCTAGGAGGAACTATTGATCACCTAGGATTGATTATTCTGGTTTATTGCTATTGGTTTCCCTCAGGCAGGCCAGTACCTGGTGCTTTTTTTGCCCTCTCCATACAAGCATGCATGTACTTTCAATGCAAACCTATACGTGTCCAGAAAGACTGCATGCAGTGGTCGGGTCAGTCATACCAAGCCAGCTGCCATCTACTAGTCTGCTGGATCCTTTAGTACTGGTGATTACATTTCAGTACACTATTACTATATGCTGGTTAGCTTCCCATCTTCTCACAGTCAGGCCAGGTCAGCTTGTGGTTACCCCTTAGCACAAAATGTAATTGCTAGGTTAAGAATCCAAGACACTGAAGGACTTGACAAATGTCACTAAGCTCTCAAAAAAACAGTCACTAAAGTGCTTCATCAGGGACAGCTCATGACTGGCTCCTGAGTAAATTATTACATATAAGCAGAATTAATGATTTACAGCACTAAGCAGCGATACAAGAACAAGTAGAAAGGTCTTTGAATTGGTGCGTGACACGGAATGACAGTCTCATGACACGGCGCCACCCAAGATATGCCAGCTGGACAGAGCCCTGGGGTGTAAATTCTGCCTCGGAGCTGGAATCGGGTGCCAGCCCAGAAAACTCTAGTAAGAAAAAAAACAGATCTGGGTCATTTCCTGAGCTCCCCCCCTCACCCGACTGACTCACAGCTCCTGAAATAGGCGCACAATTAATCGCTCACAGCTATCCTCTGCACACACAATACATGAGGTTAACCCCTCCGTGCCACGTCTCCATGTGGCAAAGTAGTGTTGTGCTATAGTCTTGTGACCTGAGATTCAGGTGGGAATACAGAGGAGTGAGTGAGTGTGCGTGCATACACACACACACACACACGCTACCAATTATGTACATATAGTCATCATGGGCAGAAAAGAAGTAGCGTGAACCTTTCCACGTGTCTATTAGAAGCGCAGGGACCCTATGAACACATGGAAAAGGTGGTTCTAATGGATTGCAATGGAATTAATTTACACCTGAATTTTGCTGCAAAACCTAAGACCTTTTATCAATAATATATACGTCTTGATCATAGTTTTGACAAAACTGGCTTCCCCTCCGCTTCCACCCTTGCATGCTGAAATGTGAGTGGAGAGATTCTTAGCTGGGTGAGTTGCTTGAATTAATTTACAAGTCTGACATTGATGTAATAAATGCAATGACAGGCTAGGGAGGGGCGAGTGCTTTTATAATTACATGAAGACTCTCAGTTTCAGTACAGAAACAGTCCCAGGGCGTAGCACAGGGGAGAGACCCTAGATACACCTCTTTATTGCATCAATACAGACAGAATGAGGACATCTTGGACGGGGCACCTGTTGCAGCATCGAGACTTACTCATACTGTGCTGGCAAATTCTTTCACCTGCAGATTAGACGTTTCCATTGTTCCACAGTAAAAGAATTACAACACCCAGTCCCCTTGCTGGGAGCCCAGCCCTACGAGAGCACGCACTCATTCCTGACATTCTTCCACCTTCCAGGTCAGTTTCAGAGGCAGGAGAGGGATGTCCTTGAGAGGGGGGCAGGTGAGCTGTGTGGAATGTGAATCGGCTGCAGTCACAAGCACTTCCCGTGTACACACCTTGTACTCTCTGTGCAAAGACATGCCCTGCGCTCCTGACTGACTGCCACACCTAATGTGCCTGACTGGCTCCTGAAGGCCCCTCTGGTTTCACTTTATAAACTGAACCACCAATGCAAAGTAGAACACAACAGCATTTTTTTATTGCAGGAGGTCAGTACACCCAAATTGATATTTCAGTTTTTGATAGATGCCGCTAGAGCATTAAAAAGGTGAACTCCGGGCACATAAACATTCATCAAAATATATTCCTTCACAGAGGATATAAATAAACTATGTGTGCACCAAATGTCTGTGTAATCCTAGATATTACTATGTAGACGTAGCAGTGACATCATCACTGTGCTTTACATACCCTGCACAGAGAGCAAAGCTGTGGGAGGGGCCCAGCAGCCTCCACCCACTAGAGGCTGCCTGCAGAAAGCTAAAGGAAGGGTGGAGACAAGACCAGTCACCCTGCACAAGTAAAGAGAGCAGCAGTGACCGTTCTTTATTACAGGAGGGGGCGGAGACCAGACCAGACATCCTGCAGAAGGAGAAAGAGCAGCAGTGACTGGTCTTTATTACAGGAAGCACCTGCACAGAGGCAAAGTTACACACTGGATCACTGCTCAGATCTAGAAGAAATACACAAATCTAGTAAGAATACACATGACTCTTGTATTTAGACGATATTTGCTTATCCAGGAGTTCAGCTTTACATCATCTATTTCCAAATAGCTCTCAGGGAAACAGGGGAGATGATCTTTGAGCTTCACACACCTTCTGTGTCCTTGACAAATGGCTCTGACTCGGCCTCCTGGGTTTTTATTTGCTATGAGAAAGCAACAAGTAGATTGGTAATAACTCAATGAATGTAAATCCCGAAGACCCGAAGGTAAGAACAGAGTCAGAAAGATATCATCACAGGGGTGCTCAAAAGAGAGTAAAGAAGTCAATATGTGTCCAGGAGACTCCACCTGTGAATGAAATATCACTTTTGGATCTAGAAGAATCTACAGCCTACAGCGACCAGCATAATTCTTATTTTTAATGTAGAGTTCAAACCTAAAACC